TCGCCTAGGTGGTGTATTGGCAGCAGACGCCGCTCCCCGATCTGCACCATGATAACGTTCTCAGCACTACGCCGTACGCCGTGCTGTGATCTACTGACCGTTGCCGATACGTTTGCCACCAAGACCACCAGAGCCACGAATTATGAGTGTGGTCTGGTTCTCGAACATCAACTCGCCCCTCCGCTTGTCTGTCGTGTGCACAATTGCGGTTACAGACGCTTTGCCCTAGTCCTGTACCTCATGAAATCTAGAGAGGATGTCTACGCTAAAGGAGTGCTGTCTCAGAAGAGGTGGCTAGTACACTTACCGCACTTCGACTTGACGTGACTTTTCGGACCTAGGGACGAAGGTCGCCACTTGGAATAGGAGCTCTGACTGATGGATAGTATTGCTTGCTGTGCAGAAGGGCCGGAGGTACCCGCCCTCTGCTTTGGGCACGACGTCCTTGTGCACAAAGTAGAAGTGCACGGAAGGGGGACGGAATCATCAAACACCACGTGTCGAACTCCATCTCCGGTGGCGAGGCCTGGAGGCAAACCTCGTTGTCAGTCAAAATTTTCACCAACCGCGTGAACAGTTCGAGATAATCGATAAACGTCCATATTCAAACTGCTTCCCGATTCGATGCCCGCGTAAAGGCTCTTGATCACGTGTGCTTTCTCAAAGTCTGATCCATGTTGTACTTTGTGATATGATGCTTCTGCCCATTCTTCACTCTGCTTTATTGCGGTTTTCATAACACTTGCTGATTTTTACAACACTACACATACAGGCGGGGATTGAATGGGCATCTCGGTGATCATGCCGAGTTTCTTTCCCACAAAAAATAATCATAGTAATTACAGTAATAAATGAAATTATATATCCTATCATACTTGTTGGTTTTGGAAACCATTAAAAAAACTGATATTTGGTCTAGTAGGGACTCAGTCTAGTGCGAGCCATGTCAATTCTGATGGGGATGGGATAGGGATAAAAAGACTTTGTCGACATTCTGTGACATGCGCTGCCTTTTGAGGTCGTGATGGGTAGTCCGCAGAGACGGACAAGTGGTGTTACGCTCCACCGGCATTAGTCTGACTTGGACTCTGGAGAGGCATAACCGACTTAGCAAAGATTAGGCAAATGGGGATCACGTGTCAACCCAACGCAAGCTGAACAGGGGCACACTGGCACACGCTGCAGCAAAGATGAAGGAGTACTGTCCCTTGGAGGACAAGAGTGGAAGTACACCTAGTCGAAGACTAGGGCAGATAGGAGACGAGTCAAGAGGGTGGATTGAAGAAGACCAAGATGGGGACTCTTGGTCTTTTGAGACGACTACTTATACAGATACACACGGGCTTTAAAGCGCTGCTGGAATAGTAGGTAACCAATAGCGTAACTAGCTCGAACCCTAGTACAGCTATCCTAGGAATGAGTCATACATGAGTCACAATCACATGTGAACTACAGTGCTGACTGATACGATGTAAAGGTCCATGACTAATACTTGTAGCGGTATGACTTATCGCGACAACTAGACCAAGAAAGAGTGTAAGTGAACTGAACTGGGAACACACTCAAGCCTAGCGCGGAGACAAGTCATGCGCTGAACGTACAGGCACAGCGGAGAGTAGACACACGTGAGGACTTTATCCAAGTCCAAAGGTCAGGTGATCACGCTGTGGCACGCTGAGTGGAGAACCAAGAGGACAAGTTAACATTGGAGAAGTAAGGGAAGTACAAGGATGATACGCACCTGAGTGGAGAACCAAGAGGACAAGTTGGTTCCACTCAGGACGCTACATGAGGGTTTATATACTATGCTGCGGCTGAGTTCAAATTACTATAGAACCTTGTTACTAAAGGTATGAGTAATAGTAATGAGTCAGACGCTGACGCGTCGTGTCTAATAATAGCGTTATCTATTGTGCTGACTGATGCACAGTCATTAACGCTGACAGAACAGTGACGTGTCCTTATCTATGAGTCATAACCCTATGACAACATAGTCTAGAACTATCTAGAATGTTCCCTGCTTATCGTCCAATGAGAAGCTACTATACTAATGAGGAAGGTGACCTAAAGGGGTAACACCCAATAAGGAAGTTACTATCCCAGGGTCACGTGCTTATGGGTGCACATGTTGGCATCATGTGACTAACCCATCTTATCATGTCTAATGATAAGGACTTGGATGTTTTTAGCACAACGTTGGAGACTTGTATTTCTACCTATTAATTCCGTAAAAATACAGAAAAATAAGGCGAAAATAAAGCGTCCATGACAATACTACTGTCGGGCCATAGTCATAACTGGCCATGAGTCACTTGGAGTCCGTAATGAGTCCATACCGTAACAAGTGGAGGGAGGTTGTTCTTCAGTGCAGACCCTAGAAAGAAATGTGAGAATCTAGAAAACAAGGAATAAAGGTTCTACTTACGGTGGCCGCAATGAGGGCAAACATTTTTTTCCCTGACAGGACCCACACCACTTTGTGTGGCTGGTACAGCACAGATGGGGGTCCACTGAATATGGTGGGGGAGGGCCTTGAAAGGGGCTGGAGAGAATGTGGGGAGATATTCCAACAAGTGGTTGATAGGGCCCATTGTTGGACTGATTGACCATGTAAACATCTGTGAAAAAGGCCAGGAAGAGCTGGTGTCCAAAAGAGTTGAAGTCAAGTAATGCGGACAGATTGGAGAACATGCTGTGCTTGGGATTGACAGCATTGAACTGAGAGACGAAGTTGTCGAAGGGCAGCGCTGGATAGCTGGGGGTAGAATCGGTCATGAAAGAGCACTCCAATATGGCAAGGCCGCAGCACAAAGAGACATGAGTTGGAGGTCAAGTTTGCAGTGGGTCTGAGGTAGCTTACTTGTTTGATGTAGGCCGTTCGTTGTGTGCGGTGTCTCACTTGTGGCTTTGTGTTACAACTCCACTCAGGACAGTCAGCAGAGGTGGTTGTTGATGGGGCGGTAGCATCAAAAGACATAGAGTTGACGGACAGCTGTGGTTGTGCAGCGTATTGCCGTGGTGGCTGTGTGGTGGTGAAAGCCTGCCATCAAGGTTGGTACGTTGTAGTGCTACAAAGAGTAAAAATCATGTTTTTTCTCCAGTGAAGGGGCTCACACACCAGATGGTAATGTCCTGGCAGGTCTGTAGTGAGGGAGAAACAGACATGTCGTGAGGTTGTAAGAAAGACGTTGACTTGGTTGCCTTCGATGTATGGGTGGACTCAAGAACGACTGATACTGATCCAGTGACAATATTGTTGATTTCTGAGTCACACAGCCCATGCAAGGACATCGATAAAGCCAACTCCTTCATGTTATTGGAGTTGGCAGACCATTGTTGGAGGGATTGGAAGGGACGACAGAAGGACCCTCAGGGATGCTGACTTGCTAGTTTCACTAGTTGCACAATGCCAAACTAGCAATGCAGATAACTATTCAATAACCCTATTCTTCCAAGACACCTATTCAATAACCCCCAATTATGTACGATAGCTCAATTTCTCAAGAATTTCCCACTCTACTGAACTATGAACCCTGCTCTTGAGTTTGGATGTCCAGCTGTGTGCTAATAAATGAATTGGCAACTGTTACAGCGAAATCCAAAATGGGGGGCCCCTTGAGTAAAAATGGACGACAGCTGACCTCCAAATTTGACGTGCGGGGTTCATAGTTAAGTATTGTTTGAAATTCCTAGGAAATATGGTATCTCACAAATATACAGTTATTAAATAGTTATCCGTGATACTCAATAGTTATCGCAGGATGCTGGGATGGCACGCAGCCAAAGGGCCTGCAAACTTAAGGTTATCCCATACGCGCTGCCCGTTGTGGAAGGTTTTCTCCCTTTTTTTTGTCCTCTACCTCTCCCTCGAACTGCCTCTGTCTTCCCTCCCTGACCATGGTCAGCCGCCACATTTCGGATGAGCTCAAGGAAATGGCCATGTCCTTGTCCATCCAGGGTCTTCACAACTCGGATATTCACAAACTTACTGTCATGAACTCCCCTGTCACCCTTCCTCTGCTGCCCTTATCTGGTTCATTCCCTTTCTCAACAATTACCTTTCTTGAACCTATGCTTCCCTTTTATCTGATTGTTCTAGCACCTTCCGTGCTATTCTTGTCTACTCTTCTTCTGCCTTGCTGGCATAACACCATCTTGCACGATGTTGACACCATCTTGCCAGCACATTATTCTATCTATAGCAACCAGTAGCACTATGTGCTCAGGTGCAATCCTGTACTATATAAGGAACCCTGTAGTGCGCCTTAGCTCCTTAGCTTTGGCTTAATCAACTATCTGCGTTGTATCTCCCATTGACTCCTTGAGTGCCTCAGTTCCTTCAGCACTCAAAGCCTTGACCCAGAACCTCAGACCCTTGACCCTTATCCCCTTTGGGCCATTCCCCTCTCAGCCTCTGTGCAGGCTTCCCCTTGACTTCGCTCTTATCCTCTTCCTATCTACTGGTCAGCCCAGTGACACGTGACCTTTGGACTTAGGCCATTGAGCTCATCCATTGCTACAGACTCAGTCACCTTAGCATAAGGGGCTGTTACAGAAGGACCTCCCCACCTCAGCGTAGGGGGATCGTCACAGACTCAGCTACCTTGGTGTAGGAGCTGTTACAGAGGACCTTAGGAGTCGTTGCACACAGTGCTGATCCGACTTGGCTGTTGACTGCCACGTGACAGGAAGCCATTACAGAAGACCATGCCCCTGCAGAGGCGTGACACTTACAGGAATTAGCATGCGATCTCTCAAGCGATTGCGAAGCACACATCGCGATACTGGTCACTTTTTGCACAAGCCAGTTGTTGCAGGTCGGCCGCGCATCCTCACCGCAATGGATAGAAAGGTATGTGTTCTATTTATCAATTCGGTCGTCGTCTCATTTGTTGGATTAGTAATCTGTCACATGACCTGGACAAATATGTTCCAGCTTGGTTACCATGAAGAGTGGGGCCAGATCAGTGCATGTAAAACAATCCACCTCAGTAACCCAAGGCTAGGTAGCTCAGTTGGTAGAGCACCTGGTATATATATATATCCAGAAGGCCTGGGTTCAAACCCCAGTCTGGTCACTATTATGCAAAACTCTAACATCATTATGTACAGTTCCTTTGTGACTGTGTGGCTCGTCGACCTGATCTAGCTCTCACAGAACTGCAGACTGAACTGCATGAGGTCTGTGACGTTGACACGTCAGTGCAAACAATCGCGCGTTCCCTCCAAAGGGAGGGTTACACTATGAAGACAGTGCGTCATCTTCACTTGATTCTTCCAGCACCCTCACCATTGACCTTGTAGGTTACGCGGACTGCTCTCAAGCGAAATGAACAAGATCGAGAAGACTTCAAAAACCTCATCAATGGGCACTTCTGCCCAGAACAACTTGTGTTCGCCGACAAAAGCCATTTCAACCGGCTGACCTTGAGGAGGCCATACGTGTGGTCATTACATGGTGAATGTGCCTGTCAGTACAAATTTCAGTTCCGAGGGGCAAAGTACTCCCTACTCCCAGCCATCTCCCTCGACAGGATAATCCATCTGGAGGTCATCAAGAACGCTATCACTGGCACAGACTTCCAGCAATTCATTCAGGGCTTACTCCTGCTCATGAACGAATGGCCACTCCCCAACTCTGTACTCGTCGTTGACAACACTTCCATTCACAAGGTCACCAGCATTCACAAGATGGTCAAGGAACGCGGTGTGCGCCTGCTGTACCTCCCTGTGTATTCACCTGACTTCAACCCTATCGAACTCACCTTCTCAACCATCAAGGCGTGGCTGCGTGCAAATCACAATCGAGTGAACCAGGACTTGGAGTCCGAGAATGGCACAGTGTATGACGCGTTATGGGAGGGGGTTCACTCAATCACTGCGGAAAATGCAAAGGGTTGGTATGCCCACTGCGGGTACGATGTACACGCTTGATATTTTAGTTCTCTACTACTGCATGTAAATTCATTGGATATTCCTCATGTGAGCATGGATAGACAGAAAGTTCTGAAACATCATATATATATTTTGGGGGTATCTTGTGCGTTCACAGCTCCGTGCGCTTTCCTGCCCAAGTCTCAGAAGCAGCCGGGGTTTGCCAGCTGACAAAGCTGACAAATCTCACACTGCAGTCACACTTCCTATGTCACTTTCTTCGCTCTCAAGCTCATCAATCTCATCCTCGTCAATCTCCTCCACTCGTCGATTTCCTCCTCCTCCTCCTCAATCTCCTTATCCTCAGCCTCCTCAATCTCATCCTCCCCCTCAGAAATATCAATGACCTCACCTGGAATGGTAAGCACGTCTCTTTCCTCTTTTTTTATAGCCCAGCCCTCGACCCCGTCGCTGCGCTCCATGATGTCTTGAACTGCCGGGGCAGTTGGGGTGACAACTTCGGTGGATGGTGGCACTTCACTGGTGACCATCAATCTGAGGGGCTTGAAGAATTTGTCTCGTATGAAGCAATGGACATGGCAGGCATTTTCTGTACCAAGGCCGAAACCCAAGAGGAGCGACTCATCCAGTTCAAAGAGCTGGATCACATCATTGTACCCAAAGTTGAACAAATTGGTGTGGCTATCGAGGAAAGTTAAGTTTGGCACCAGTTCCTTGATGTCCATGAGGGTGAGTATCTCGTATACCAACAGGACTCGCCCTTGCAATCAGCAATCCACTAACAATTCCAGGGAACTGTAGGCTGGTGGGGAAGGTGACTCGCTCTCCATGGGGGTGGATGCTGGTGTCTCGGTATGTACAGTGATGTTGCTGATTTGCGTAGCATACGAGGGACCCAGGCCCGACCCCGGTTGAACCTGGGTTCCTGACACGACGTAGGAGTTCTGCAACCCCCCCGCACCTGGTGTAGGTGTAATGTTGATGGCGATGTGTACTTCTGGTGCCACACGAGCACCCGCACCCCTCGGTTTCTTCGTGGGTGGGCGGTTGGACAGCGATGTATTTGGTCACAAGAATACGTCTGCTTTTCCAATCGCCTGAATATCGGTAAGTTTTTGTTCGTCACTTATGTTTTTCTTTTGCTTACGATAAGTTTTGCCCATAGCATCATCTTGCCATGCTTGATATCTTTGTGCCCCCCCTGTATGCCTGGACTTGAAGGCTCAATCCAGCAATACTTACGCAACCCGGCGGCTTTGGAGTGTTCACTGCATAGTAGGTGTCTCTGTAGACTGAACAAATGGTTGTATTGACTTTTTGCTTCCGGTGTGGCCTCCAGGGGTATGTCATCATCACGGGATCGTTTCTCCTTCTTTTTCCCCTTTCCACATGTCTTCGGTCAACCCAACATGCTCTGCAACCCCTGAAAAAGTGAGTTTTCTTTTATTTGTCGAGACTGTCCATCACTTACCACATCTTTTATTTCCATTGTCACTGCGCATGTCCGCGCCACGAGTGTCTTTTCTCACACAGTGGCAACGGCCACTTTCCAGTCCGATGGGCAGGTGAGAGACACCCAAGTCCGATTCCCACCGCTGATCCGATACCCCAGACACACGTCTTTGCGAGCGTTGAATCGCTCCAATGCCTTGGCTTCAAAGTCTGGCCAAGTCATGTCGGTTTGGGCAGCAAAGGTCTGCCTGACCTGGTCCCTGTCAACTTCAACCCGAAACTGCCAAACTTTGCGACATCAGTGGTAAGCGTTTCACTGACTCAAGGCGACGTACCTCCTTTGCTGACTTCCTTATTTGGATAGCTTTTCTTTTGTTGGACCAGCGCTGACTTGCTGCTGTCCTCGTGTGTACTTGTCGCCGTACGCCCATCTCTCTCGGCAACCTCAACACCTGGCGCAGTGGCAGCGTGAGCCCACTCGTCTAGCCGCGTGGCTACTGGATGTAGGACAGGGTTTGGCGGCTGGTCATGGGGGTAGTGCCCATAACCCCATGGCTGAGGTTGCGCATTGCTGGCCCCAGGATAGGACAGGAAGTGGGGATGGAATGGAGGGTAAGCCAATGGCGCACCATACGGGTGCATGCCATACGGTTGCACACCATACGGTTGCGCGCCATACGGTTGCACATAGATAGGTACATTCACATCCATACCAGCAGCATGATACTGACCATTGCCACCCAGAACAGGATATGCCCCGGCATGTGAAGGCTGGAACAACAGCAGCGGTGGAATGAATGGTTGCTGCTGGATTACTGGCAGTGGTGCTGGCAGTGGTAGCGTTGGGCCCATAGCTGGACCAGGGCCAGTTGCATGTACTCGACGAGCTCGTGGAGGCATTGAGAGTATGACAGTTGATGGCACCAAAGGGGGTCAAGATCATACTTATAGTCCGGTGCAGTGGGCCGTCTTCATACTCCAATTCTATGGTGGCTGACACTGGTGCCTATGTAGCACACACAGCCGTCGCTTGCACGTTTTGTGGTCATCAAAGACATGGGATTTGTCAATGTTTTCAAACTCATTGGCAATCCCAGCAGTGGCCATGTGCGCAAGCCAATGCGCATGTGCCAGCAAGCCCACGGAACGTTTGGCAATAGTGCCGTTCTGACATCGGTACTCTGTAGCACCTACTTTCAATATATTACATGACTCTCCCTCCTGTATCATCAGACAAATTGTATTTTGTCAACACAACTAGAGCGTGTTGCAGAGAGTCAGTGTGGTGATTCCACCCTGAGCTCAACTTCGCATCGAAATTGGTCCACAGATTCCTAAATTTAATTTTCAATTACTACGAATTTTTATTTTATTTCATTTTTAATTACTACAAATAATTTCTCGTGAGAAATTGGGTGACTTTCCATAGGATCTGGAGCCTCTAGATAATTCTCTAGACCGGAGTTTTCTCTGGATCGCTGAGGTGCCGACCAGGCACACTGCTCACATAATTTTTTTGTGCTCCTCCAGATGATTAATCTAGAGGCCCGGCCTCTACCCTGCTGCAGAATATTTATAATCGTCTAGACTAGAAATGCCGAGGTGCCAGACCCAGTGGAAAGGCTCAGGACACTGCCACTGATGCGCACCGTCGTTCCGATTCTTGCTTTGTCATTTCTAGGCTAGATTTTTTGGGTTGTCTATGGGAAAAACAGCCTTCCCAGAATTTATTTTCCTGATTACAAATTCCGGGTACAACCGGTCTGGAGAATTATCTAGAGGCTCCAGATCCTATGGAAAGTCACCCATTAGTTCGGCAGACTTAACAGGACACCCTTTCAGGCTCAGCCTGGACGCCTAATGTGGTCGCAAGGGGCCCCCCATTTTGGATTTTGCTGTATGAAAACTGCAATAGAACGGCGAACATGCCCAGTCAGTGCTACATCAGTGTCCGTGCGCCGTGTCAATGTGCATTCCACACCACAACCACGTGGCTACACAGCCAGCACAGTTTCGCAGGGCATCTTAGTCACTTCTGCATCCACTCTAATCGTCTTTCTCTCTCCCCACATCATAGGACACCCTCACCTTCTACCCCCTACACGGCACTCATTTTGCCGACCGCACCTCAATTGACTGACAGGATTAACGCTCTGAATCTTGGCAAGTCCTTCGTCAAGCGTGGATCATTTGGGGACCAATATGTCGCCGTCTTCAACCCACCAAACCCACCAACTCATATCGTTAGTCCCACATCCACAACTTCTACTTGTTTCTTGAATGCATCTGGAGCGCCACATATAGCATCCCCCCTACAGAGCCTACGGAGCTTATTCCACAGGACAATCTCACCGAAGAACCAATTATGGAGCGCGCAGCCAGTGAGGAGAAAGGGACAAATGCGAAACAGAAGTGGAGTGTTGCTGGCATGTTCCAGGAGCTGCGTCGACGGCACAGAGTAAGGAAACTTAGTGGGGTACTCGGGGTTCGAGGGAGTATATTCCTAGTATTGCATACACCTTGTAAGACCTTCATCAGCTGTTGTCGCCTCGGCTTTGCCTGATTGTTTGGTGGTCCGATCCAGTGTTGAAAGTATTGCTCATCTTCGTACCGCTTTCTGTTGGTATTTTCTACCCTCATCTAGTGGATTGCGGGCTCTAATCATCTTCAGTGGATTTTCCACTTTCTCAAGCTCAACAATGCCTTAGTTTTCATTAGTGAGTTTTGCATT